CTCGCCATGCTGTCTTTTACTGTCCAACCAGTGCTCATCACGGGGAACAATGAATGAATATGAATATGAACGATAATTAATGAATAATACATCTCGGAGCCTATTGTGGAAGCGGTAAAGAAATGAATGAAGTCTTTCAAAGGTATCTCACTTGTTCATCGAGTCCAGAGAATTAATAACGCTGACGAATGCGACACCCGTTTTGTTGTTTTTGCCGCCGCGTAGGACAGCGCGATTTATGCGAGCGCGCCGCAGCAGGTCACGTTTGTTGGACAAAGTCCAACGCGACGACGAGAGTAATGCCGAGGGAGTGAACGTACGCACGGAGAAAGACGCGGCTCGCGAGGTGGCGAGAGTGAATGCCGGCGCGAGAGAGCGGTGAACATCGGTCCAACGTCGCTCCAATATCGGTCCAACGTAAACGGTGACCTGGCCGCCGCACACGAAATCCGTGGATTTTGAGCTATAATTACGCAATACTTAGGTACGATGAAGTGTTTTCAATACTGCGATCCGTCTAACTTATCGGGAGTTACAGTAATGGAAGTTCGACCGAAAATGACGTGTTAAGACAAAGGAAAATTTTACGCTGTAGTCGGTCCAATTTAATGTGGAATTTAGGCCTGTATTGCATTCATTATTCCTTGCTTTGTCTAGCATGTTTCGGTTATTGAAAATGAACGAAATGAACCGAAAGGACATATCGTGCGCTTGGAAACGTGGCAACTAAGATATTTGGCTTTTGTGAGTTATGTGGGGGGTTTTGTTGAGTCTGTAATGTATGTTCTATAGAAGAGGACAGGAATTTCTCCTCGGTATCATACCCATTCTTCGAGAGAAAACCGCGGGTTTTGTCAGAGAAACGAGTTTGAATTTCGCGCTGGATGTGAGTGTCTCCTCTCGCAAAGTGTAACAAATTACTTGGGTGCTGCTAGATTGGGTTTCTTGACCGTAAGGAGAACTATCCCTTAAACGCCTTCAATGGTCAGGTTTCCGTGAAATCATACACAAGCCGTTGATGTACGATTTCGCTTCCAAATCCAATTTTAATGAAGCAAAGCATTCACTCGATGATAGGATTCCAAGAAAAGCCTTGACGCATTCAAGAAAACCGCTGCGAGCCATTCTTGTAAGAGTCAAGCTCGCCAGGCTGTCTTATTACTGTCAAACCAATGTCATACGGAACAATGAAAAATATGAACATGAAATAACGAATAAATTAATGAAATGAATAACATCTCGAGCGTATTAGTGAGCGGAGAAGCCAAATTAATGAAAACTTTCAAAAGGGTAATCTAACTAGTTCACCTAGTCCCAAGAGAATTATATAACACGCTGACGACATCGCGCGTTTTGTGCTTTTGCGCCGCGTCGGGACCAGAGCGATTTTGCGAGCGCCGCCGCCGCACACCAAATCCATGGGATTTTGAAGCTTGTAAATCCGCAATACTTAGATGCGATGAAGTGTTTTCAATGATGTTCGATCTGTCTAGCTTATCGGGAGTTACAGTAATGGAAGTTTGACCGAAATGACGTGTTAAGGCCATGAAAAGGCAAATTTTACTTAATTTCCCTTTAGTGGTTCCAAAATTAATTTGGACGTGGTTGTTTCAGTAAAAACACATATCTTCCCATACGAATAGGTTTGTATTCGCTTCTCATTATTCCTTTTTTATCAACATGTTTACGTTATTGAAAAGAAAACGAGGAATGAACTGAACAGACATATCCGTAGCTCTGGAAAACCCTGGCCAAACTAAAGAATATTTGGCCTTTCTGTGAGCCATGTGGTTTTTGAGTATGCTAATGTATGATATATAGAATGAGTACAAAGACCTTAGGAATAAGTCGCACAAAGCGCAGGAAAAAGGGATGACTTGGGTGGGACGCTTTACCGCGTCACATTGACGACGAGGTGCGCAAACTGGGACGCGGTACCGCGTCACGCTGTCGTCAACGTGTTAATGCAGCTTTTCACCACCAAGTAAACGATAGCCAACAAACAATTATTGGTACGATAATAATGCAATAACAATAATGCAATAACTGCGACAATTACGTGCTCGGCATATTGATACGCTGTACTACAATTGAGTTCGGCGCTCATCCGGTAAGGGGGGGGGGGCATTGTGATGCAACGTCAATAGCTGCCCTCACCCCCACCCCCTGAACTGGCTTCACTCCCCCTGGCTCACGGGGTCCCGTACTTCGAGAAACCTGTGCGCCAGGGGGAGTGTAGGCAGTCTAGGGGGTGGGGGTGAGGGCAGCCACTTGATGCCCCCTTACTGGATGAGCGCCTGAATTTTCTGCACACATTTAGAACTGCATCGTATAATTATGATTGCGCTACTAACGGTATGGATACCCGTAAACTATTTCTGACTACAACTGAGTTTCTGCGCACTAAATAACGGTATGGATGCCGAAGTATTCTGCAGTGATATTTGAACGGTGAACATGGTATTGCGGATTCAGCTATCGCACACTGTGGAATGCCCATCCGCAGCTATGGAAGGTGACATATACATAGAAGATGGTCAAGCCTATTATACTTGTGGAAATGGGTTAGGTCGAAGGGTTGGTCAGCAGCCACTTCGTGAGCTCCGGCGTTATTCGTTCTTGTTAACACAGGGACAAAAAAGCTTCTAGCTCCAAAAGAGTTGGTTATTTCACCACATTTCTGCGCCTTAACATGAAAACGTCGTCGATATTCACAAGACAAACTAGGCTACTGTAGAATATTGATGGCAAATAGCCTACCAACCTATCGGCCAAAGGAAGTGGTGTAGTGGCAAGTGGCACGCTTACCACGCGAGCGGTCCGGGGATCAAATCCTGGGTCGTGAGTCGCCCGGGCCAACCAAGCCTTCCATCCCTCCGGGGTCGGTTAATTGGTACCAGACTTGTCTGGGAGATGAAAAAACTGATCAACCATCGGGGAGGAGAGAACAAAGGTGTAGTGATAAGAGATAGGTTAATGGGAGACGCTTGAAGAGTGAACAATAGTAAAACGCACTTTAATCAACTTTAGTGAGTTGAGTACCCATTGGGATGTGCCAACGCCCAGGCATCCTCATTTTAGGAGTCGAAAGCAGTTCTGTAGAATAGCTTGAAACGATTGCATTATTGGATGATTGCGAGACGAATGGACAAGTTGTAAAAGCCGTGATTGTAGCCTTCAGACGATCACCGCGTACAATAACCTATCCAAGGAGAACTTGAGTTTTGCCTAGACGGCAAACACTTTGTCTCTAGACTGGCAAAACAAGCAGCCAATTCAGGATATGCGCTGGAGTGGGTGGAATGATAAGTTGCCGCCATGCCACCCTGCACAGTTCTGGTCCACGTGCCGGCGTCATATAGATCAAGTATCTCCAGCAGTTGTACTCAGAAGTTGTGCAGTACAGAGATTTTTTAATTATTTATTGACATGTGAGAAGGAATTTGAATATACACAGGTAACAGCCAACAGAACATAGGCCAGAAGGAACAATCTTATGAAACGCGAATCAGCAAAATCCAAACACTGTTTATTTCCCACAGCCTAACCCTCGCTACTCAGCTTCTGGGTCTGCAATTCCGAGCCTACAAAAATATCCGGAACTGCCAGCATAGTTAGCACGTTATGAAATGAGTACAGTCGAGAACCATGGAACTATTGAGCTTGTGAATCTTTTGCAAAATTTTTTTGCAAATCAAGCAACGCGTGGAGGACAGGCGCAGGGTGGGTTTTCCGCGGCGATCGGACGAATTGACGAATTGGGGGCGCGACTTTGCCTGACGCGCCAGCGCGTCAGCTTACCCGCGATGGTGTTTTCGGATCTCAAAACTGAAATTGGGCAAAACAAGGGTACAACGTTAACTGAGGAGGAGAGGGCTTCTGGTGGAGACGCGCGCTGCTTGTCTCTACCCATATAGCCACAGAATAAGTAAATGAGATAATATGATGCGAGTCAGGATAAAAAAAAATCAATGGGCTCTACGGGAGGCATAAGCCAGTTCGGGGATGGGGGAGAGAACCGAGTCGGACAACTCCGAAGCGGGGGCAAGCTGAAATGGTGCACGTGCACAATCCTTTCGGCGTAATGACGCCAAAGAAAAGTGGTCCTAAATCATGCTGAACGTTGAGCGTAAATACTGCCAAGCTTGGTTCACGCAACAAGACGTCCAGAAACAATAAATAAAGGTTCTCGAAAATGCAACAGGACAAAGTGGGAAGCTAGGAAACTATGGTTGCTCAAGACGCAGAATATTTTGCAGCCTCAAAGAAAAAAGGCAAGAAACGCAAAAGTGAAATTCGTTTCTATAGACAGCTCCGATGAAAAACATTAGTAATCTTATCCATAACCGTAATTCCTTGACATTAATCACATTGTTGTTTACATTTATGTTTTGTTCTTATGCTCGTTTACCCCAAAATAGTAGTCGAAGATTGAACGAACGGAAAATTCAGTGAGGTTTAGAAAACCTTCGCTTAACTAAAGGATATTTCAACCGCTTAATGGACCAAACCGTTTACAGGCATGGATGATGTATTGTCTATATAATAGTAATGAAGATTTTCGGAATAAGTCGGACATGTTCGAGAAAAAATGGGTACAAGGTGCTGACGCGCATGCGCGTTCAAATGTCCAATGCGCGCCAATGTCTGACGCGCTTGCGCGTCAGTCTGTCATCAACGTGTTAACTAGAGATTGGAGGCTGCAATCACGCCTTCAAATCCTCAAAGAAACTCTCATCCAGATAGCTATTTCCCACACGTAGCAAAATTTCTCCGATTAGCGTTGGAAAACGACATCTGCTCGAAATCCTAAGACATCAATCCCACATGTAGCAATTCAGTATGGAACGAGAGTACCGACAAGCATAATAATTGAAAAAAGGTAAAGACAATTTCCTAACATTTCCAATGCTTCCTTTCGTGGATAGAACGAAAATGGAGCGCTTTTCAAAACCCTCAAAATAACCATCAGACAAACGATTGTGAAAAAATTCTGACCTATTAGAATGCCCTAATTGGGAAATAAGTACCAGAATCAATTCATCACGAGAATATACCTGTAACTGCTGCAAATTGAGTCCGAAAACACCTGATTTGTACTGATGTGGATAGAGTTTCGCCGTTGTGTTTGAACTTATTTGTTCTAGAGCTGCAATTGTACAACAAAAGCTATTTTAACATCATATATACGAATAAGCAGGGTCGGAAAGACAGCGGCAGCACAGTGGCGGACGAAAAACCAGGATCACGTACATTTGAGCCTGGTGTTGCCAAGGGTAACGTCCTCGCTATTGGAAATATACTGAGTTGGTACTCTAATTGGCAATGAAGCGGAGCTGGAGGACGATTGTCAGCAAATCCCTTTCTAGGATGCGCCATGCCTTCGAGTTTGGCAACTTTTCGAATGCACTTTTGCCTCAAAGAATGACTTGCTGAGAGTAAATGCAAACGTTATGTCAGTGTTTTTTCCTCAACAAATCCTTCGCTAACAATGCCATGAGAAAACGGATGAGAGCTTTGCACGGTCGGGTCCCAACTCTTCAGCATCCACAATTTCCTCTACCCAGCAAAACGACCAATTATCTCAAAATAAAGGTAAGTTTAATTCAACTAACAAAGAGTTGCCTGTAGTTCATAATTTCGATTGGAGCGATAAGCTAACCTAATTGAAGGAGTGCAGATGTGGCCATTTTTCAGGGTGATGAAAAAACCATGAGAAACGGCCCAGAACCCCAAAAAATGGGACCCCTTCCTTGCCCGTAGGATTCCGCGAGCGCTATCTTTGCTAAACCGCTATAGACCTGCGGCAAGCGGTTAGCCTGTCGGTGGGCGTGCTACGTCGATAGTGGCGCGAGAACAGCGAATGACGTGTCGGTCCGCACCCTTGAGGGGTCTCCTGTCTTTCCACTAGGTGAGCTTCCCACCACTTCCAAAGTGAATAAAACCGGAAGTCAAACCTCGGTCGAATCTCTAGGAGACCAACCAAGTTTTTAATCCCGCTGCGTCTCTTAAAGGAATCTTGCGCGGAAAAATCATGATTCTATTTCAGCCATAAATCACTGGCTTGAGACTCATTATCCACGATAATAGTGAAGAAAAAAACTGAAGCACTGCTTTCGTTTTGATTAGAAATTCGAAAACGTCGAAAAATTCGAAAACTTGGCTGCTGCGACGCGTTCGAATTGCCCACGGACGTCTTTCACGAATGCTGGCGACGGGGATGCTCAAACTTGGTTCTTGGAGTGCATTCACTAGAAGCTCTTTCTGGCCTTCTGCTTCGTTGCATTCA